GAGAGGACACACAGTGACACATACAGAGAAGTGTGTCACCTCTTTGCTGTCACCTCTTTAACCCAGTGACCAAATTTAGGCCATGTGAAAACACACAGGGAGAGAGACGGCCAAGCGCAGAGGGAAGCAGAGAGTGGAGGGACGCAGTTGCAAGCCAAGAACATCAAAGATGGTTGGCAACCCCCAGAAGGTTGGAGAGGGCATGGGACCATCATCCCCATCACAGACTCCAGAAGGGACCAGCCCGGCTGACCCTTTGATTGCAAATTTTTGTCCTCCAGAACTTAGAGAGAATAAACTTCTGTTGTTTAAAGCCACGCTGTTTGTGGTACTTTGTCACAGCAGCCTGAGGACACTCATGCATCTGGGAACAGTAATGACGATATTCATAGGTGCCCACACTTTGGCATGCGCTCTGATAAGCATTTACATGAGTCTCTCACTGGACCGTCCTAGTGACCCTCTGAGTTGGGTATTTAAGGTATTGGTGGCATCCCCACGTCCAGGTATAGAAACTGAAGCTTGGTTACTCACCCAGGGCACACTGCCAAGTTGTAGAGCCAGGATCCCAACTCAGCCTTACTCCCTCTGTCCTCCCTAGATGGCCTGGTTCGTGCACTGCACACCTGTGGCCGCCATGCCAACTGTCCTTTATGAGTAAGGGCTGGAAAAGGCATTCTTGAACAAAACCACAGAAACCCAAATTATAAGTCAAAAAAGAAGAAGGGGAAGGAGTTGATTACATCAAAATTAATGTCTCTTTTCCAGCAAAGTACAATATAGTTAATAGGAAGATAACAGATGGGGGAAGACACTTGAAATATCTATAGGCAACAAAGGACACATTTCTGTGTGTTGCAATCCTGCAAAGCAACAAGGAAAAGATAGTAACTCTCCTGAGAGAAAAATGGTCAAAAGATAAGAAGTGACCATTTATGGAGGATGAAACCCACAAGACTGACAAGAATATTAAAAAATGCTCCATCTCATTAACAGAGAGAGGTAAGTTAAAACAAGAATGGGTCACTATAGCCCTATTATACTTTACAGTTAAGAGTGTTGGCAGGGATGTGGGCATTTTTGTAGACTTCTAGTGAGCTTGTAGCCTGGGGCAGCTGTCCTGGAGAACAGTTGGGTGGTGTTTCTTAAAAGTAAGTCTGTGTAAACATTTTGGAGGTGATGGATATGTTTAGTACCTTGGCTGTGGTGATGGTACCACAGGTGCATGCCATGTCCAAAGTCATCAAGGTATAACATTAATCTTTTGTGTATCAATTATACCCCTGTAAAGCTAATTTTTTTTCTCTAAAAACAACAGAGTAAGTCCATGCATACTCTATGATCCACCAGTTTTAGTCCTAGTTACGTATCCCAAAGAAATTATCAGCTGGACGCATACAGGAACAAGTAGTGAAGTTTATCACAGTGTTGTTTCTGGTGGCACTATGGGTGTCGTTCCCTGGGAGAGTGGAGAGTAGATCAGGGTAGATCCACATCATTGAATAATCGTCAGCAGTTAGAAGCTACTGGCTGCACGTATACAGGGCAAGGTACATGAAGCTTCAAGACATAAAGTTGAGTGGGGAAAAAAGTAAGAAGCAGATTGCCATTTATGACATAATCCATTCAACTAAGTTAAAAATATATGCATATATTTATATACATATGTGTCCATTTGGACACAGTGCTAGACAGCAAGGGGACAATGACAGGACTGGAGAGGCCAGGGCTGCTGAGAGTCTCAGGGGCTACTGCCAGGAGCTTGGAGTCCACCCTCCAGTAAATGTGTGACCCCTGAAAGCAGGGGGCTGCCACACAGAAAGCTGAAGCAAGAGAACCACTCAAATGGATGAACTTAACGACATTGAAAAGGACATATTTTTGACTAGTGGTGTCCTTCCAAAGGCCTTCAAATCTCATTGCATCTGGAAGGTCTTTTGTTTGTGAGGGACAGAAACCCAACTGAAACCAACATCAGTGGAAATAGTTTTTGCCTCATGGAACTCGGAGGACCAGGGTGAAGCTGGCATCAGGGACTCCGGAGTTTGAGGGGGTAGCAACCTACGTTTCTCTTTCCATCTCTGTCTCTCTTTGTCTCTGTTTCTCTGTGTCTTTTCCATCTTTTGGCTGGACTCCTCACAGTGCTTGGTGTAGGGGAGGGAGAGGGGGAGGGTCACAGCTTTCTCATCCCAGTTTAGTGACCCCAGAGGAAAGACAACATCTCTTTCAGCATCCACGTATAAAGACTCAGGGAAGCACCCTGATTGGCCCAACTTGGGTCACATGTCCAACTGTACCAACCCCTTTGGCTGGATGCCCAGGATGTTGGATTGGCTAGACCTGGTCCAGGTGCCTGTGGCCTGAGGGTGTTGCTGTGGTTGTCCCCAGGAAGGGGAGGGGGAGATGCTGCACAGATGAATGCCTCACACACATCAAGTGGGTGCCACCTGCTTCCAAGGGCTCACCCCTTCTGTTTTCTGTCACACTCAGACAGCCTGGACATGACGGTTGGAGAAAGCCCGGTCAGGAAGCCCCTGCCACGGGGAGGCTCCAGGGTGGTACGTGGAAGGTAGTGGTCTGATTAACGTCTATTTAGCCAATGACAAAAATCAACCCCAGAAAAGCAGAAAATAGCGAGGCAGCCCCTGGGGAGTGGACGGAGACAGTGGCAGGGCTGCCTCTGCCTTTCTTCCCAGCTTCCTCTCACAGCCCCTGGGGGTCCACATTGAGAGAACAATTACCATTCTTCTTCCAGACGCTGTATAAACAGTAACAGCGTGGTTATGGCCCCCTTGAGGTCCAGGAGCTCACGAGGCTCCTGTATCATTGCTCCCTTCCATGGAGCAGAGCATTCCAGCAGGATGAGATCACGGAGCCCAGGAAGATGGTGGGTAGGGAAGGGGGGTTCCTGGGCTGGAGCTCTGGAGCAGTGCCCATCCCCCGACTCCATCCCTTAACCTAACTCTCCCAATCACTGGTGGTCTCAGAATGTGCCTGAGTTCCTGCCATGGTGCTAATGCAAAGGCAGGAATCTGTTCCTGAACCCAGACTGCCCCGCCCCTTCTCCCCCAAACTTTCCATCTCTGGGCCCCAAGCCGACTACGTTGGGTAACCACAGAAGTCAGCACTGGGTGGCCTGACTCCAGGCAGTGACTGGATGCTGACTGTGAGTACAGTTAACAAATTAACAAAACTGCCATTTATTGAAATAGGTTCTATGTTGGTTACATCTTAACGTTTCATGGAATCCACCCCAAGTCCCTATTAGGTATTGCAGATGAGGAAACTAAGGCTCACCCAGTCAGCACGATGGCAGAACCCTGCCTTCACGCTCTCCTCTGTTTGAATCACGACCTCTTGGCTTCCCCCAGCTGCCTCCATGGTGTGTTAGGCTGGTGGAATTTCCAGGTCAATGCTCACCTTCCCCATAAGCCAGTATGATTATAAAGGATGTGCACGGCTCAAGGGTCCCCAGGAGGAGTGTGGGTGCGGGTAGGTGGGTAGAGGCCAAAATACAGCCCGGGCTCTGCTCACGTGGGCTATGGGCCCAGAAGGAGTGCCTTTTTTTTAATTCTCACAAAGGCAACCCACGGGCTAACAGTAGCCGACCCCCCTGGGCCTCTTGGAATTCTGACAGCACCCACCGTGCTAGCCACTCACACAGCAGGCCCCTTAAGCCATATGCTGCCTTGCCTTGTGACCCAACTAGTTCCCACGACAAAACTTGTTATTTCCATAACTCCCCCAGCGCTGATTGCCTGCAGGCGCTTGCTTCTTTTAGTTCTATTCTTCCCAACCGCCTCTCCCATTCCTATTTCATGAAACCTACCTTTCTTTTAAAACCCGGCGGGATGCTCACTCTTTCAGAAAGGCTTTCAGACACCACAGCTGAACTGCGGCCTCTCTCAGGCTGCTTTGTATCAGTCACAGCGTCTACTATACCCTGCCTCTGATAAGGACCATCATCCTTCAAGCATTCACTCGGCGCGGGTCGCTGTGCTAAACACTCTCCATACTTTTTCTCCCTGAATCCTCACTTCACTCCTGTTATTATGCCCATTTCACAGAGGAAGAAACTGAGGCTCAAGGGACTTCAAGACTTGCCCAGGTTTACACTGCTAGGAAGCAGCGGAGCAGGAACTGAACTGAGGGGTTCTGCTTTTAAAGCTGCCTGCTCTGATCAGGGTGGTTTTCCATAGACATCGCGACCAGGTCTGAAACGCCAGCAATCTGAGGGTAGAAGCCACTGTGGGTCTCCGCAGGCCCAGAGGTGGGCTTCTGTAAATACTCCGCGAAGGAAAGAAGGCTGCCCTGGTGCAGCTTTTCTCTTTCCGCAGATGAGCTGCCACTCCTCCAAGGCTCCACAGCAGACCCTTCGACCACAGGGGCCCTACGGGCTCTTCGGGAAACATGAACGCAGCTCTGCGGCCGGGCACACGGAGACCCTGGAAGGGGCACCCGGGTTTGCGAGCGGAGAAGGAACCTCCGGAAGGCGTGAGGCGCTCCAACCACACCCAGCCGAGCCAACTTGTTTACGCCTCTGGCCCGGCCCGGCCCGGCCCGGCCCGGTCCGCCGCCCCGCCCCTCGCTCTCTCGCGTAGCTCCTCCCGCCGCGCCGGCCCATCTTTTTGCCTCCGAGCCAACTTGTTTACGCCTCTGGCCCGGCCCGGCCCGGCCCGGCCCGGTCCGCCGCCCCGCCCCTCGCTCTCTCGCGTAGCTCCTCCCGCCGCGCCGGCCCTTCTTTTTGCCTCCTTCGCAGTCACAAGATCTCTCAGCGGCTCCCTTTCGGAATCCTTCCGCCCGTCCCCGCCCCCCTACCTTAAAAACTCTCCTTGGTTCTTTCTCGACTGGTTAGCATCATCAGTAATGAGCAGAACTTCCCCTTCCTTCCAAAGGTGCTGCCGACCCCGGTCATCTGTCGTCAGGTTCGACGGGGTGGGGGGCGAGACCCCGCTGGGACTCTTTTTCGTGGCGGAGGCTGCAGCGGCCGCGGACATTTCACGACGGCGGGGAGGTGCTGTACGTCCAAGATGGCGGCGCCCTGTAGGCTGGAGGAGCTGTGAGGTAAACAGCTGAGGGGGAGGAGACGGTGTGTGAGTATGAGGGTGTCGCCCCCTCCCTTTCATGGGGGGCTTCTCAGGGCAGTACTGGCACCATGGCCTCAGTCTGGGAGGCCCTGTGGGGCTGGGGCAAGGGGCTCTCTTGCCGGAGAAGGGACTCCGGGAAGGGGGGTTCGGAGAGCTTTCCCCTCCCTCTTATTACGCTCTGTCTCCGGCGGGGCCCGGCCGGGCTGGCGGGTCTCTGGGGAGGAGACGCGGCCCCGGCCGGCACGTCGCCCCTCTTCGGCGACGGAGGGGACGGCTGCACCCCCGCACCGCGGAGCCGAGGGCAGGGGTGAGGTGGCCCTGGTCGCCAGCCCCTCGCTGGGTGGGGTGACAGGTTCCCGCGGGGTGCGGAGAGCGGGGAAGAGACCCTCGGCTGGAGGGCGGGGCCGGGCGGTGGGGCTGGTCCCCGGGCTTGTTGAGAGGGGTCAGGGGTTGGGGGGGCGGGGGATGAATGGAGGCTGCCTGTGGGCATCAAGGACCCGCCTGGACTCGGTGTCTCCGCTGAAATTTGCATGACCGAGCGCGTCGCTCCGGGTGTGCTCGTGGGTATTTAATCGACGGTGAAAGACAGTTGCTTTCGAGTCAGCAGAGGTGATTCTTGAGACAGCTATTTGCAGAGCCACTCCTAGACGCTCATTCATTCATTTGAGGAACTGGAGGGTGAAGAGCCCGCAGTCAGAGAGCCCTTTGAGAATGAAAGCTGTTTCTTTGTTTTTCCTGTTCAAGAGTTTTGCTTCGTGTGCTTTGGATTTGGGGGTGTGGGGGGAGGCTTTGGAGGGGGCGCGGTCCTCTCGACAACAGCAGCTTGTTTATGGGGCACTCGCTGTGCAAGTGCTTTGCACTCATCCTCTCCTGTAGCCCTCGAGACAAAGGGGAAAGGCAGCCACTCTTAACGCCTCCATTTCTCAGATGAAGAAACTGAGGCCCCGAGAGATGAGGGTCCCTTGCCCAAGGTCACCCCTCTAGGATTGTGTGAGCCAGGACTGGAACTGGGGTCTGACTGCCTCCCAGACTGTGCTCCTGTCTCTATTTGTACACCCATGACTCTCTCACTTATCTCTTATTTGATCAAAGCTGGCCCGTCATTCTTTCTAAGTAGGTGATTAGAATTAAGCAGTTGGCTGAGGTCTGTGCATAAGTGCCTGTGTGTGTGTGTGTGTGTGTGTGTGTGTGTGTCTCTTTAATTTTGAGGAGGGGCACCCTTGCTTATATACCTTAGCTTTTGTTGGGGGTGGCAGTGTTGTGCCTGTAAACATGTTAGTCTAAATTACGCCAGAAAGTGTTTGATGATTTCATAAAACTCACGCGTTTACTGCAGAAAGAAGTCGTGCTAAAATCCTTGCTGGATTTTTTTATAGAAGGCATGGAAATAGCCCTTCATTTTACATAGTGTAAGCTGTAAAAGTACTAAAATAGAATAATACTCTTCTGAGATTCATAGGTTTATAATTTGGGGATCAACTTGGAGTCGTCTGAATTCACACATGCTGGTAAAGGAGCTGTAAATTTCGAGAAGCGTCATAAAACCAAACCTTGTGGAAGCCCTTGATTTACAGAGCAACCACGTGTGATTCTTAAGTTGACCATTCCTGAGTAAACCTGGAACATGCACGTGTGAAAACTGATGTAGGGTCGAGTGGGGAAATGCACCTTTAACAGTCATGCATCAGGCCAATGAGGTGCCTCAGAAACACTGACAGATTCTTTGCTATTTCTTTGGGGAGTCACAGGTTCTCCCTCTAACCACCTGGTGTAAACTTAAGGGGTATTTATAGAGGGTGTCAATGGAAACTATCCTCTTACCAAACTACATATCTTACCCAGACGCTCTTACGTCACGTGCATGGAAGGGCGAACGATGTAAGCTTTCTTTGCTTCACGCATTTCCTGGTGTCATAAAGACTTTGGGATGTTCCTAATTGCCTAGCTAGACAGATTCCTAGGCAGCTACATGCATTCTTACTTGTTTTCATGAAATTGGAGTGTCTCAAATCCCGTGACTCAGTTGTACTCTTCCTCACTGGTTTCTTGAGAGCAAAGATGTCCTGTGCTGCTGCTGTCCGGGTGTAATAAGATGCCGTCTGTGCATACCTGTTTTCATTTGTGAGGTGAAACCGAACAGTCTTACTAGGACAAATCAAATACATGCCTGTCTATGGGATGTTTATAGAGTAATGAAATTACCGGAAACGAGACATCTCTAACAGTAGCGTCCATCAGAACCTTCATGCACAGGTATCTGGCCCCATCGTAGGTAGATTTGCATATTTGGTCTTTAAGTGTATTTTGGAAGAAGTCATAGGTGATTCTGATGTGCACCAGGGGTTGCGGACCAGTGGCTAAAGTAGCCACTTTGGCTGTTTTTCTTTTAATTTATAATTTATTGCAGAGGCATTTCTTAAAATAGCTTCTGACTTCTGGTGTATATAGTGGTGGGTAAGCTGACTTCATCTTACAGATCTGTCTTCTTTCAGAGTTTGTTAAGGTACAGGTGTGGTTCTTTTCCGGGTTGCAGGGCCATGGTAGAGACTATGGTAGAGACTAAAGTTAACCTTTTCTGGAATTAACTGGATATTCTTGGCTGCAGATGAGCCAAATACAGCAATACATCAACCATTTCAAGCTTTTCTAAAAGTCAGATAGCTTCCGACTTCTAACAAGCCACTAAGTTCTCTGAGCTTCAGTTTATTCATTTGTGAAATGAGAGAGTTGGGTTGTAAATGAGTATTTCAAAGTCTAAATTTCTGAGATTTCAAGTCCTTCTGGGGCTTCAGTTAAAGATTCTACATTTATTGAATCAAAGTGTTAATGGCTTTATAATAACTGAGCAAATGGATGACCTTTAGCGCGACCTGTTTTTATCCTTTCCTTTATATCACATTTTTAAGAAGGTATTCCTTAAAAGTTCCTCATATTATAAATCTCTCTTCGAGAGATTAGTTTTATTTGTATTAGTTTTGTTTGTCATTTAAGTAGCTGCAAGCATGAAAGTATACTCGATAGCATTTAAATCTCGAGCTTTTTGCTTTAAAAATACATATATATTTATAATTAGCATATACTCAAAAACTGAATTTTCCCCCCTCAGTGTTTAGTTTGCATGAAATACTGAGTTTTTCTGTTGGTCTGAAAAAGGTTTTAGACCAATTGAATTGGTTTAAAATTACCATCAGCAATTTTAGATGATTCTTTTTCTGATTTACTTATTAAGCGTGTAGTTCCTAGACATTAGTAATTTAACGTCTAGTGTCTATTTTTGGGAGGGGGAGAATTTAAAAAAATATGTATATATAAAACATATGTAATCCCAGGACCTCGCTGGTTTCTTCTTGTCCGTTCTCTCGCGCAGTTACTAACGTTTGTTCTGTACAGGGAAGTAGCAGAAGGTCATAGAACACTTTTTAAGGTTGAAGGGATTCAGATTGTCATCTAATGAGTAAAGTGCCCTAAAAACCTAGCTTTGATACAGAGCAAGACATGGTAGTTACTGGCCTAGAATTCACAGGTCACTTTCTAAAGTAAAGATAATGGCAATAGAAGCCAAGAAGTGTTTAAGTAACAAGGGACAACTTTACCCTTCAGTCGGTGATAGAGGACACAATGGGCCGTGGTAAGAAAAAACAGATGTGGTGACCGTAATGTCTGCAGTTGTTAAGACCTGTGCTGCTCTGAGTAGTTCCACAGAGCACATGAGTACAGCAAGAAACATGAAGTGTATCCATTTTAAGCTACAGAATGACTGTATCAATGTTTCAAGTATAAGTTATTAAGTGTAGACGTCTAAGACTTATGTACCCATTTTGTTTAGTAGTAATATTGTTATAATAAAGTTGATGTTTATTGGCACAGTGCCAAACAGTGTGCTGTGTTTTTTTACATGCGTGATCCTGTTAGCTCTTCCCACAGCCTTAAGGGGCGGGAGAGAGAGATGAGCACGCTGAGGCTTAAGGTCACTTATTCAGTGGCTGAGCTGGGATTTGAGCCCTGTTGGTTGACTCCAGAACACACACATTTAATCTTTCACTGTGGTAAATTGTCTGAACTGCTGATCTCATAAACTAACTCAAAGGTCAATGGTTCTTAAGTTTTGGGGGGGCCTCCGTTACCCTCTGAGGATCTGTGGGAAGCTGTGGACCAGATATCCTTTTCTGTCCCATCAGCACCAAGAACAAAATTCATACAGATACGAAATTTTGCATATGGCTTCAGGAACTTTACAGACCCAGCCTGAAGCCCAGCTGATCATTCTAGATAGATTACTGCTCTTAATAATGGACTTGGGCTTTAAAAAAGAAACAAACAACAAACAAAACAGTAGATAGGAAAGGCCCACGTCTTTTAAAGATGGACTATGTACTGTTTGTATTATAAATCATTTTCTTAAACTTTTATATTGAAAGGTTCTTTACACTTCACTGGGAGATCAACCTTAGGTGCCACATTAAAAAAAACAATTATAAGTGGAGAACTCAGGTGTGTAACTTGCTAAATGCTTGTCAAGCTTGGCATTCGGTCTGTGTGTACCTTTAACACCTGGCAGAATTCCATTGGGCTTTTTTTTTACCAGGGTTTACGCACTATTTTTTTCCTTTAGAACCTCAAAAGTATATATAAAATATATATAAAATATATATTTTTAACATTTCTTGCCTTCTTCCTAGACTAGTGGTTCTCAGCCTTTTGTGGGCATCAGAATCTCCAGGAAGACCCCACTCCCAGATTCAGAGTCTCTGACCACCAAGGCTCGAGGCCCAGGAATTTGCATCTCTAGCAAATCCCCAGGTGATGCTGGTGTTGCTGGTGTGAGGACCACATTGGAGAACCACTCGTGTTAGTCCTAGACTATCAAACCCTGTGCCTTTATTCCCTGGGATATTTCTGTTTCAGTCTTGTGAACTTGAAACCTAAAGAAATCTTAACAGTTTTCCTCAGATTTCTTTTTTATTTTTATTTTTTTTGCGGTACGTGGGCCTCTCACCACTGTGGCCTCTCCCGTTGCGGAGCACAGGCTCCGGACGTGCGGGCTTAGCGGCCATGGCTCCGCGGCACGTGGGATCCTCCCGGACCGGGGCACGAACCCGCGTCCCCTGCATCGGCAGGCGGACTCTCAACCACTGCGCCACCAGCGAAGCCCCTCTCAGATTTCTTTTAAGGGAAACTCTGTTTTTGAAACATACATGATATTTGGTTTATTTTCTTGGTAAATAATTTTGTTCATGCTAATAGCAAGTTAAAACATAAGAAACATTATTTATAGAAGAGCTACACCTTACCAAAATCAAGCTCTGTCCCTGCAGGCAAGTTACTAGAGGATTTACCTCTGAAATAGGGTAGGTATACGCTTCAGCGAATTGTCCTTCCAGGTCCCTCATGGCAAAAGTTCTGAGTGGAGAATCTGGAGCTCCCCTGCCCCTGTTTATACAACCTTGAGAGAGACCACAACTGCTGAGACCATGTAAATCACACGTGGCTACACATTTTGGCAGGTTTTGCTACCAGCTGTTTTACTTTCACACACTGAGTGGTATTTCCTACCCCTTTCTTTCCTTCTGTGCATTGGTAGGAAGAGTGAATTGGAGCTTGTATCTTACCTTTTTTGGATGCATTTGTGCTGAAGGCAACTTTATTCACTTGATAGAATATTGTGCTCTAAGAAATCACCTGAGTGTTGCTGAGCCAAACATAATTGTGTAGTAGTGTATTATTAATTTTAATAAATTTATTTATTTATTTTTGGCTGTGTTGGGTCTTCGTTGCTGCGCGTGGGCTCTCTCTAGTTGCTGCGAGCGGGGGCTACTCTTCGTTATGGTGCATGGGCTTCTCATTGTGGTGGCTTCTCTTGTTGCAGAGCACGGGCTCTAGGTGTGTAGGCTTCAGTAGTTGTGGCACGTCGGCTCAGCAGTTGTGGCGCACGGGCTTAGTTGCTCCACGGCATGTGGGATCTTCCCAGACCAGGACTCAGATCCATGTCCCCTGCGTTGGAAGGCGGATTCTTAACCACTGCACCACCAGGGAAGCCCAGTAGTGTGTTACTGACATATTATTATTATCTGTATTATCTGTGTAATGTTTCTGTTCTACTTGTACTGTACTTGATAATGAAATAGTCTATCTATGCCTGAACCTGTATCTGAATTGTCTTTGAACTTTTTTAGATAAAAACCTCAGTACAGGAAACAAGTTACAGTGAAGAGACATCTGCTTTCGTTTATACCTGTAGTTGTGTTTTTACATCATAGAAAAGTTGCACAAAATTATCTAGGCGATGTGATATGCAGTTACATATTTTATGTGATTTGGGGTTCTGAGGAGTCCTAGGGGATAGAAGGCCACACACAACACTGATTTTCCAAAAGTCTGAATATTCAGCTGATATTTTCAGATAAAATACTTCGTGAAGGCATTTAGGTACCTGCCAATAGTATTTCATAAAGGTATATTACAGCTCTCAGGTCTCTCATGCCTCGTAATGCATCTTGCCTGGGCAGAGATGTGTGAAAAAATGTGTACAAGTCCTGCTAATGACATCTCTCCATGGCTGTTGAGCTGGGGTTTGTGTGTACCCCACATATACACACCATCGCTCTGTAAACACCTACAGAATGAAATGAAGGTGAAATGTGAAAACAAGTTGACCTATGTTCCTTCTGCTTAATCTCAAAACACTAAAGCACAGAGCTGTCATCTTCCCCAAACCTACCCTTTATTTCTATTCAAAAGGACTTGTAGAAGTGCAATTACAGTGTTGCTTTCTGATGAGAATACAACTTTTGGGTCCAAGAGGAAGAGTCCAGATCTGAGGGCATGTTTCTTTTTTAATTTGGCTTTCGAAGATAAGAACATGGTTTGGCCCTGTTATGCTCTGACAGGTGTTTCCATCCATACCCCTCAAGGGCACAAATTTTTTTTTTTTTTTTTTTTTTTTTTTTTGCGGTATGCGGGCCTCTCACTGTTGTGGCCTCTCCTGTTAGGGAGCACAGGCTCCGGACGCTCAGGCTCAGCGGCCATGGCTCACGGGCCCAGCCGCTCCGCGGCATGTGGGATCTTCCCAGACCGGGGAACGAACCTGTGTGCCCGGACTCTCAACACTGCGCCACCAGGGAAGCCCAAGGGCACACATTTTTGAAGAGGGTCTTCCCCGTTCCTCACTTCTGATCAGGAAGTTCACAGGTCGCGTGATTTTACCTAGTAGTACCTCCATAGAGCAGGATTTAAATATAAATGAGTAAGTAAACACTTAAAAATATAAATAATGCCAGGTAGCCCCTGACTGGCCAACATTTATCACCATTACCATTTTTTAGCATAGCAATAAAGAATGTAAGAAGTCTTAATGTCAAGCATTGGACAAAAAACATTCTGATTTCCTATGCCAGTTCCTTTATCTAGGACAGTGATCCTGGCTAGGCAGGCTATAAGATCTCATCTTGTATACATCCTAATTTTACCCTTGCCTTAGATATTCCTTTTCAGGTAAAAGAGCCAACTGGGATTAATTGCAAGAGGAAGGCTACATGACTCAGTGGAGTAACAGCTGAAGTTAAGATTCTAAAGATTAGAGGCTCCAGTGTTTTAATTCTAGCTCTCTTGGTTGAGTGACTGTGGCTGGGCAAGCGCCCCCTGTGTGAATGGTTTCGTTGGCCTTTTTGGAAAGCCAGCCCGCCTTCCAGCTCTGCACACACACTTGCAGTATGCCACTGGGGACCACAGTTAACGGCGTCAGTGCCTAGAAAGTGTTCTACAGGGAAATATAATTACCGCGTCATCTGGAGCAAGAGGCTTTACTTGTTAGAGAGCTGCTCAACACACTAGTTCAACTTTGACCAGGATTGTATGTGGAACGTCTCGTTTCCCAGCTCTTCCGTGTTCAGTGTAATTAGGCATATATAGTGTATGGGGTTCAGCTTTTCATATCTGTATTCAACCCTGGAATGGCTACCAAAGAAGCTGATGAAATCTTTGTTGACTTGAACAGGGTATATTTGCCCCTTGTGTGCCAGATGCTGCAACAGGCCCTGGGTCCCTGCCCCCATGGAGCTTACCATCTAGTGATCAGGCTGTACCTAAACGGAGTTTGAAGGGCGCACATTTTAAAAGCAAACTGGAATGTATTTACGTATACTCATATTTAACAAGGATATTTAATATGAGGTAATTTAGGTAGAAAGCAGGGCAAAAAGGGAGAGAAAATAGGGAGAAATGATAGCTGTTCTCAAATATTTTATGCTTGTCATGTAGAAGGATTAGATTAGATTAGATTAGATTAGATTAAGGTTGTGTGGTTTCAAAGGCAGAATTCAACTTTGTACATTTATTTAAGAAATATTGTAACTCCTAATCATTCAGTGAACAAGTCCCAGGCACTGTGGCAGCTGCAAGAGGCACAGTACTGGAGAGCCCCTGTCTCTCCCTGGCTGGAACTGCTGTTCTGGTGAGGGGGACATATTCAGTAACTAATTACACTTGCTTAGTCGGTTGTGGTCCGTGACACCAAGAAATACAGGCTGCTGAGAGTATGTGATGGGGCCTGACCTGGTCTGGTCCTGAGTGGAGGGAAGTGAAAGCTTCTCTGATGAAGCGCATGTTTAAGCTGAGGCTTTTCAGGGTGAAGACTGAGCTTGGGAGGGGGCAGAGGTAGAGTCTCTCGGCCACAGGGACAACATGTACCTGGTCCTGAAGTGGGGACGTGTGTGGCTTGGCTGAGAGACTCTGCGGCTAGTGGGGCAGGGCCGTGGGGAGGGAGGGGGCGTGGTGGGTTTGAAGTGATGTGGACCCACCAAGCGCTTTGTGCCTGGCGCTGCTCTTCCTCTAGGGCTCCTTGGGTGGTTTCTCTGTGCCACATACCGTGCGGCGGGCTATGGGCATTCCTCTCCTGGATTAGTGAGGCAGCCTTAGGAGGTAGACGCCACCGTTCTTCTCACTGTACAGTGACATAATTTAAAGTTGGACATTAGAGACATAAGATAAATCACCCAAAGTTACACAGCTACTCAGTGGCAGAGCTTGGATTTCAACTCGGAGCTCTAATTCTGGAGCCCATCCTGCCCATGCATTTCCTGCCCATTCGTTTATAGCTCTAATAAAGACAGTTAACAAAAGGCAGAGTTTACAAGTTCAGCACAATATAAAGAATTTTCCAGCAACCAACTGTTCAGAAATGTAGACGGGGAGAGGCATGTGCACACAATGATTATAAGTGTTCATTCCAGCGGAAACCAGATGGCCACCTGTCAGGGATGTGCAGTAGGAAAGAGGTGGAAGCCAGTGAATCCTGAACTTCCTCTGATTGCTTCTGGGATCTCACTTCATTGTGAGATTGATATTGACACATGCGTGTTTCTTCTCTTCAGTGACCATGAAAGACACTAGGTTGACAGCACTGGAAACTGAAGTACCAATTGTCCCCAGAACAGGTAAGCTGAAAACTCAATCCAGGGGTTGGGGGAAGGTGGAAGAGAATCATTTATCCTGTCTGTGGTTGTACTGGGGTAAAGATATTTCTTTGCATTCAGGATTAACGTTGATGGTTTTAGCTACTTGCCAGGAACTAGACCTTCTGTGTCGTGAAGTAATTAGTCAAATTACCAGTAATTTTTTAACTGCTTATTCAGTGCCAGGCATGGTGTCAAGTGCATTCTATGGTTATTTATTTTGTTCTTCACAGCCACACTTTTGGTGTATCTCCGTCTTACAGATGAGGAGTTGGGCTCTGAAATGTTACGTAATTTTCCTAAGGTTGTATAGTTAGTACCTGGTGTACCTGCGACTCAAATCAGTTCAGTCTAGCAGCAGAATTTGGTTCTAATGCCTAGATAAAATTGAAGCCTGTGTGTCTGAGCAAGTCATTTAACTAGCACAGAGGTTCTCAACCCTGGCTGTGCCTTAACAATCCACACAGGCCTATGAAACAAGCCAGATGTCCTGTCTGGACCCTACCCCTTAACCTGCTCAGGATCGTGTGGACTCTCCAGGTGATTCTAATGTACATCCTGGGCTGAGGACCCCTGAGCTAATGAATTAGCATTTACATTGTAACGTGGCTTAATTTATTAATTGTCTTAATTAGTTTTTTGGGGATGAGTTGCATGCTATCGTGGTTTCTAGGAATTGGAGGATTCTCAGAACCCTGGAATATATCGTTCCTAAGTATTGAGGCTTTGGCATTTCTGTGGATACTAATGTAGTCTGAGTGACCTGACTGATCCCTGAGCTCTAATTTTGAGTTTACTGGCAGGAGTGTGCAGTGCAACAGCTTTCTGTGTCTGCAGGAAGGGTGTAGGGGAGATAGGGAAGTGTTTGGTCTGCTGTCTTTATACACAGATGGCTAATGGGATTCATTTAATGCCTCACTGGTTGCTATTTGCTGTATTCTGTCACTGTCTTCCTCACCCTACCTCCTAGGAATTGTGAAATAAGGTGGAGATTTTTGCCTTAAAGATTGGTGTCTGTTCACAAACAGGGGCTTAGTACAGATTGTAGACTGTCTACCAAGAAGGTGGATGTATTGTTCCCTCACGAGTAGGGGAAGGTTTCTAAGTTTAACTCTTTACTTTCAAATATTTTATGCGTACTTCACCCTGTCCTTTGTCGGAAATCCACTGCATGTGAATTTGAACCCAGTGTCAGATGGTCATGATCAAATCATTGAGACCCAAGCTGAACATCACACATCACAAATCTCAGATTTTTTTAAAAAAATTTTTATTCATTTATTTATTTATTTTTTGGCTGCATTAGGTCTTCGTTGCTGCGCACAGGCTCTCTCTAGTTGCGGCAAGCGGGGGCCTCTTCATTGCGGCGTGCAGGCTTCTCACTGCAGTGGCTTCTCTTGTTGCAGAGCATGGGCTCTAGGCGCACGGGCTTCAGTAGTTGTGGCGCACGGGCTTAGTTGCTCCACGGCATGTGGGATCGTCCTGGACCAGGGATTGAACCCATGTCCCTTGCATTGGCAGGTGGATTCTTAACCACTGTGCCACCAGGGAAGTCCCACAAATCTCAGATTTTATTAAACAGTTTTCAGTATTGCATTTGCATTCCGTTTTAGTAGTCAGATTGCTAAAATTTGAAATTTTAACAAATTGGTCAGCTGTGTCAGCCGCTAGATTGCTCCTGGGTTAACACGTGTTTGATACCGGAAGGACATTTGTCTTCAGCTGCCACGTTTAGTCCCATCACTAACCTTTTTAGACAAAGCAGAATGTAATTCGGGAGAGTTCCTGGTAAATTGTTTTCTGGAAGGAACCTGTACCTGGGATTCATAGCTTGGGCAAGCCTCAAGGATCCTTCATCTTCAGCTACTAAAAATTGTTGACAATCTATACCAATCATTTTTTTTTTTTTTTTTTTTTTTTTGTGGTACGCGGTCCTCTCACTGTTGTGGCCTCTCCTGTTGCGGAGCACAGGCTCCGGACGCGCAGGCTCAGCGGCCATGGCTCACGGGCCCAGCCGCTCCGCGACATGTGGGATCTTCCCGGACCGGGGCACGAACCCGTATCCCCTGCATCGGCAGGCGGACTCTCAACCGCTGCACCACCTGGGAAGCCCCTCTATATATTCTTTATGTTTGGCTTGAAGATGGTTTATCATGGATATTGTTGACTGTGATTTTGGGTTTTTTTTCATGTCATAAAATTGAGGTGACAGGTTGGCATTTTATTTTTGATTCATCCTCAGAAGATGTGAGGTATTCCCAAATATGACTTTTTCTTGAAAGACTACAAATCAGGACTACAAATTAAGTGAAGTTCTTAAAGATTATTCTGTTTGTAATAAATGTTATAAAACAATTCTATAAACGTTAGAATTAAAATATAGTTTAATTTCTGTTATTTAGCCATGTGTTACTAAAATTTTTATAAACATTTGGCTCAAAGAATAATTACTGTTATTTGTAAAGCTATCTAGCGAATCTGCCTTCTTAATACTCATAATATTAGTTAATATATTTAACTGTTTGAAAGTTCTTAATTGTTTTTGAACATAAAAATCACATCGTTAACTGAAGCTTTTATTTTTGTAATAATAAATGTATAAATAAGTATTGTATTGACAGAATTTCAACTTAATAAAACAGAAAACTTAGATGTTACATCTAGAATGTTTCTACCTTTATTCAGGTATTAATAGTACTTCTGTACGCATGCCCTGTCCGCATTATTGGCATCATGTGGATTAGGTATGATGGTAACGTTAACATATAGTTGTTGGTGACACATACACAGTCAGAGATGCCAGAAATGCTGCAGAAATGGGCGATTGTTCAGCTTTCAGTCCTAAACACCAAGGCCGCAGCCAGATTTTGGCCAAGTATAGAGACTAAAATCGAACTTTGGTAAATCTCTGTTTTCCAACCATAAATCTCAAATCTGGTTACCAGTGTAGAGTTTCAGTTTGGTTTATTCAAAGGTGGTGACTAAGAGCCCCCCTGTTGCTTTAGATTGGGTGGTCGGGGAGGCCTCTCAGAGATGGTGTGACATTTTGAGCAGAGACTTGAAACAAACAGGCACACGAGGATCTGGGAGAAGAGCAACAGCAAGTGCAGGGGCCTGAGCAAGAAGCTGTTTTCCTGAGCTTTAGGAGCCTGAGACTAGAGCAGAGAGATGAGGGGGTAGAGTGCTGTGAAACGAGGCAGAGGGAGTGGGGACTTCACAACTGGCCCAATCTGGTGGAGCCTTGCAGGCCCCTTGGGAGCTGGTGCTTATTAGCTCCATGGGAAGCCACTGGATGATTTTAAACAGGGATGTGAAAGATTCTGGTTTCCCTATTTCAGAGTCTTTTGTGGTTGTTTGGTGGCAGATAAGTTGTAGGGCGAGGGTAGTGAGGGAGGCTGCTGCTCCCTTTTCTCCAAGGGGGGATGATGGGGGCTTGGGCTGGGGTGACAACAAAAGGGATAAGTCAGTGGGTTTGCCAGTGGATTAGATGTGAGGGCACGAGTGGTGGAAGAGCACGGATGTCACCTAGACGTTTGCTAGAGACTGACGGCCATGCCTTTTACTGAGGTCCAGGAGACTATCAGAGTGACAGGTCTTGGGGTGGGGGCGGGGCGGGCGTTGGAAGTCATGGCTCCCTAATGTAAATAGCATCGTCGATAGCGCGGTACTGTGGCTTGTGGGCGCCAAAGATAATTTTTTTTTTTTTTTTTTTTTTGCGGTACGCGGGCCTCTCACTGTTGTGGCCTCTCCCGTTGCGGAGCACAGGCTCCAGACGCACAGGCTCAGCGACCATGGCTCGTGGGCCCAGCCGCTCCGCGGCACGTGGGATCTTCCCGGACCGAGGCACGAACCCGTGTCCCCTGCATCGGCAGGCGGACTCCCAACCACTGCACCACCAGGGAAGCCCCAAAGATAATATTAAACTAAATGGAATGTTGCTTTGGCGTGTAGGCTACAGAAATGTATTAACTAAATATTGACTTTTGGCTTCTCCTATTTTCTATACTTGGTTACTTCCAAGATGGAAGAGAGACTTTCATGGCTGAAGTGGATGCTTCATGTGCCTGTGGTGCTAACCTCTCAGGGACTTTCCCCTTATCTTCTCTAGGCTGTAGAGTGTGTTTAACATGTGTGCAACTCACCCATTCCCACCACGTCCAGGTGAAGCTGGTCCCATCCCTCCTTTGTGTACTCACTAAATCATGTCCATTTCCTGCTTGTGTACATATAGTTCTTCATTGCACTTGCTAAGTCTGTCTTCCCTACTTAGCATCCTGCACTCAGTCCCTCAAGAAATATTTGAATAAGTTTAAAAGGGGAGATATTCCAATCATGGAACTAATTCCAAAAGCTTATGATGGAACTCCCGTGAGGGCTTTTTAGAATGTTAGAAGTCCTTGAACTTGAGGCACTTAAATGAAGAATCCCACACAAAGCCCATGATTTATATTTTTCCTGAGGTTTAGAAAATATGGTTAAAAGGTAGAATTTTAGAACTGGAGAGAAGAGCAACAAAAGCTTGTTGCCAAAAATAGATACTAATGTATGTTAGAATAAAACCTTATTTTTGCTTTCTATAAAGCATTTGGAAAGAGTAGGCTCCAGAAATCAGACTTTTATACCTAAATTACATTTACAATCTGAAAAACAAGCTAGGTGACCCATGACGGTCAGCCCTGAGTATTGCCAAGGTGACTGGATGGGCACCATCTTTGTTTAGATTTGAGCTCATGGCACCCTGCTCTGGGCTGCCTGCATTTGGAGGAACAGCTCTGACATTACTGTCTTCTGAATATACAAAAGACAAACGCAGAGTCTCACTAGCCTGAGACTGGGTAAGTAGCAGTTTTATTGGAACAAAACGAAACTTAGGGACAAATTACTTTTAAGCCTGAGAATCGTTTGTGATTTACCTGAAGTAGAAATGAATGTGGAGGCTAGCTAGATAAATGTGCTATTCCAGTCATCTTGAAAGTGGTGGCCCAAAGATTTTTACAAGTGTTCTTTCTGATAATATGTGAGTACTACTCAGTGAGTGTTGATCTGTGCCGGGTGCTGTGCTAACTGTGTGATACACGTTATGTCATTTAATCCTCTTGGTGAACAATAAACCCTGACAGGTTGGTGTTATCTTCACTTGTAAATTTAATTTAATCCATCTCACAATAAGGTGGAATTTTATTGTTTTCAGCTTTGAACTTTTACAATAAAATCTTACCAGTTACGGTCTCACATTTCTGAGTCCTTTGAAATTGACTTCCTTTATGATTTACCTGTAAGATTTATATTTATGTAAATATAAATTTGTATTATATTCCTACATCATACTTTCTACATCAGGATTTTCTATCAAAAATACATTTATACATTTTAATTGATTTTCTGGCTAATGAATTTCTGATTCACCAAGAGCAAAATCAGTGAATATCACCAGGTTGTAATTAAACCAGAGCATAGATGATAGTAAGTTAATACTCGCCAGTTTCAGGGGTCATTGCTACTTTAAATTTGGCATCTTTGTAGGAGCTTAACTCTTTAGCGGGGTTTTTCCTTAGCGTGGTGTTTCTCAAATGCGGCTTATTTATCACCCATATAAGAATTATTCTGGGGTGCTTATTAAAATGCATATTCCTAAGCCCACAATTCAGTTCTGGAATGGGCCCAGGAAGTTAGATCCGAGGTGGTTTTGATACGCAGTGAAGCCTGAGAACTGCTGCTTCAGCTTACCCAGAGACAGACAAATAGAAAATAAGAATATATTTTGATGTGACTGCAAGTGATGTATACAGCTGTTGGCCTGGGAGCTGAGGCATCTAAGTTCTGCTTTACTGTGTGATCTTGGCAAAATTATTTATCCTTTTTGAGTATCCATATTCTCATTTGTAAAATAAGGATGATATCTGCTTACCTCACAGTTGCTGTGAGGATCAAAACCGCAAGTTAGTTTAATGTCACATTTATGGGCTTAGTGCTTTGAGTGAAGGAGATTTCGGCTCAAATTTCAGTTCTCCCTGGCTTTGCCTCCTGCTAGCTTTTTGACCGTCAGCAAATGGGGTTGATCTTTGTTCCTCTCCCTGTAAAATGGGGACAAAAGAGCCAGTCATACTGTAGTTATATAAGGAGTGTATTTGGTGATGTTTGTGAAAGGTGTGCAGTGCCTGTCTAATAAATGGTAGCTGTCTTTACTTGGTTTTGAAAATATAGCTTTAGGGACCATAGTGGGGAGAAATGAATAATTGTAAATGTGTATAGTGACACTGGAGAATGAGCTGCTTTTTCTCTATAAAGATAAGGTGACTGCTCCACTGCCATAAAGGACTGAGTTTTTGAAGGTGCAGGCTTCCCCCCCGTTCATGCCTACTTCCCTGTAACTAGCAGCATTTGAGTGTGTGGTAGATGTCTGGGGTGAGGCGCGTACACTAAAAATAGAGGAACCATCCCTGGTTCAAATGAGGTTTATGCACTTGTGACCTAACTGGCCATACTAACTTCTAGACTCTGATGGGGTTGTCAAGAAGAAGATAGCATGCTTTCAGTTCTTTTTCTGAAAATAGTTCACCTACTCTTTAGATCACTGATTTGAAACATAAACATAGTCTTAGCCAAAACCCAAGGTAGACTTAGAGTAGGAATAAAACTTAGATTTAGTCCCATTATTAAGTTGCTGTGATGATTCCAACTGGTATTGTTTTTTTTTTTAGGTTTCTCTCTGTTGCATTCCCTAGAACAACTCTTGATGAATTTGTCAAGGACAGAAGTATTTACACGCCCTAGCTTCTTTTATCAGCAAAGTTCTGGACAGACTTTTCACTGCTTCAAAGATATGCTCAGTTTGTCTGGCAGGTAGTTTTCTGTGGGGAAAAATGGGGCCATTTTGTTACACCATCCTCTTCTTCTTTTCAGTCTGGTAGTGGCACCAGTGAAGAGCCTTCAAAGTTTTTAACACACATCCTGGACCCAGCACAGCGCATTCGTGTAAGATAATGGCCCAACAAGCAAATATTGGGGAGCTCCTCTCCATGTTGGATTCCCCCATGCTGAGTGTGCGTGATGATGTAACAGCTGTCTTTAAAGAGAACCTCAGTTCTGGTAAGCAGACTCGTACCCTGGTTAGCTTATCTGCTAATCAGACGAGATTGACCTAGAGGTGACTAGAATCCTACGATAAATTTTGGTTTTCATCTTCTAAAGAGAGTCTTTAAAACCACCAAGGAAAAGCATACATCGGTGGATTCATTCTACATGTGTTTCAAGCTTTTAGTTATGGAAATACTCAAATATACACACAAACATAGAAGTAAGAGTCACATAAATGAACTCCATATACCCAGCCTTTCCTGTTTCATCTTACCTCCCTGACTTCCCCCCACCCAGGTATTTTAAAGCAAATCCCAGGTATATCATTTCATCTGTAAATCACATGTAATTTTTAATATGAAACATGCTTAATCTCTCTTTTTATCAGAGAAATAAATAAATTTAAGCAGTACCCTTTCCTGCTTACCAGGTTGGCAGAAATAAAATATTGGTCATAGAAACGGGCACTGTTAGCAGGAGAATACATGGGTGCTCTGCCCTTTTGGAGGATCTGTCATCAACTTAAAAGCATGTGCCATTTGGCTTACAGACTTACAAGAATCTGTATTTCATTATGGCCTTGAATGAAATGTAGTGGAAACTTGGGAAAACCTAAGTATCCTTCAGCAGGTGAATGGTTAAATTAATTACGTAGAGCCATGCAGTGGAGAACAAGGAGCTCAGTAAAGAGAATGAAGTAGGTCATAGATGCTGTCATGGAAAGGTGTCTACAACACCTTGCTGAGTGGAAAAAACACACATACACAGACCATGGGTATATGGACTTGGGGCCTAGGTATGTGTGATTGTACAAGTGTGAAAAGGTTTGCAAGGACATGAACCAAACCCAAGGGTGTTTGTCTCTGGAGAGTGGGTTGGGAGGCAGGTGGTGAGGAAGATGTTCACTTGCATGTTATGTACTTTCATATAACTTGAATTGTTAACAATAGACCTGAATTATTTTTGTAATTAAAAAAGCAATAAAAAAAGAAGATAGGGGACTTCCCTGGTGGTCCAGTGGTTAAGGATCCACCTTCCAGTGCAGGGGACGCGGTTTCGATCCCTGGTTGGGGAACTAAGATCCCACATCCCTCGGGGCAACTAAGCCTGTGCTCCGCAACTACTGAGCCTGCGCGCCACAACTAGAGAGCCTGTGCGCCACAGTGAAAGGTCCCACATGCCACAACTAAGACCCGATGCAGACAAATACATAAATAAATTAATATTTAAAAAAAAGAAGATAGTATTTCATGTGCTCTTACGGCTATTTAGGCAAATAAACTTGGTATTGTCCTCTTGTTAAACCTACATTCATTTAAGGAAGCAGAAAGACACTTCATATGACTTTGGGTAGCATACAAAGAAACACTTTCTGGATTTTGTGACAGGCAACTATTTGAGGTAAGTTTAGAATGTTAAAGGAAATTATTATAAACTGCCCTTTTCTTTCTTTAGACCGTGGTCCGATGCTTGTGAACACCTTGGTGGATTATTACCTGGAAACCAATTCTCAGCCTGTATTGCACATCCTGACTACCTTGCAGGAGCCACATGATAAGGTAACTGCTGGAACTAATGGTAGAGATTTGATACATTTTCTATGACTGGTGTGACAGTGTCTGTGCAGCCCCAGTGCACAGTCTGTCCAGAGCTCACTCCTTCAACTTATGTGTGCCATTGATGACACTGCCCCCAGATTATAACTACATATAAAAACAATTGTCAGGACCTATGTTTCCTGAAAAGTTTTCAAAATACAACATATTCAAGAGGCTTTTAAGGCTCTTTCTGCTTAAAGAAATCCTGTAATCCTAAACTATAATTGTATAGTGACAGTTTGATCCATAAGGTAACCATCTTTAAACCCATGCTCTGAGTAGGATTTTCAGACTTTTAATCAATATGGCAGAATCTGTAAGTGTGGGCAACTAATGGGGCTAATTGACTAGTGCTGTTTCACAGCACCAGGCACTTGGAAGACTCCTTCATGTTTTGTTTTTATTTTTGTTGATGGTAAATAACTAACAAAGCATTGCAATTACAGATTTTGGTACGTCTTGAGTTTGTATGTGCTGGTGATTTACTTTACTGGGATTTGAAGGCCTTGCCATTGTCTGCCTTTTACAGTACATCTTGGGTTTGTTTTTTTTTTTTTTTTTTTACTCTGGGCTGAATTTTAACTTCTACTACTACCGGATTTATATCTGGGGCCAAATCCATGTAGGCTGGGCTATGGGAGCGATAAGTAACTGCTTCCAGCAGGATCCTGTGAAGCTTCAACAGCCTACCACAGGCTTATTGTAACATTGGTTACTATAAGAAGTGGCCTATATGTATTACAGAAAGAGGGCCTATGAAGGAGTCTCCCCCCGGCTTATAGACCTGTATTGTGGGATCCTCTTTCAGAAGTTGCAAACTGTCTTCCCTCTCTCAGGCCAAATGCAACAGTGTGTTGTTTGCTAGCATGGTTTTAAAAAATCTTGAATTTGATCTCTACCTGCATGAGCCTTTCTTTACATCAAAGGGAAGACTTGAGAGACTGGGCTATATCACTGCTGCCTCTCCTTGTGTGAACTTCATACATTCATATGTGCGTTTCCCTTGGTTCCCTTGATTTTTCCCACTTTATTGAGATATATTTCTCTTGTTCTTGTGCATTTTCAGCACCTCTTGGACAAAATGAATGAATACGTGGGCAAAGCCGCCTCTCGGTTATCCACCCTCTCGTTACTGGGCCACGTTGTGAGGCTGCAGCCGTCTTGGAAGCATAAGCTCTCTCAAGCACCTCTTTTGCCTTCTTTACTAAAATGTCTCAAGGTACAGTGTTTGTAAGGATTTGAACGAAATAGCTTTGTGAATATAATTTCTGAAATTCTGAGTACCTTAAAGCAAGCAAGCTAGATTTTAACTTTGAGAGTTTGAAAACTTCTGGACATTTGGTTTTTCTCGGATGTAACGTAGTCCAAAATTGGTACTTAGTAAGCTCTCAGTGCATCACTGTGACTATTGCAATATGTTTGGTCCAAGCAAATGTGGTAACATTTCGGTCAGATTGGTTGACATTATGCTGTTCCAGCCCTTTTTGATTTCATCGTTGTCTAGCCTTTCCTCCGTTGAAAACATACTGGTTTGTCTTGGGGGAATCCCCATATCTAAGTTCTCTTTTGGCTAATAGAAAAATGGCTGAAAGGCTCTTTCAGCTATTTAGGAGCATGTTCTGGTTGCAGCTGAGTTGCATTCTACGTTTTTGCACTAACCGTAGTGTGTTTTTCTACAGAGGGAGTCAAAACCTAAGTAGAACTTTGTGCTTTTAGTTTTGACCGTGGCTTGCTGAAATACTCAGCGTTATTTGCTTAGTCCATTTTAGTTCCTGGACTTGTTTCCTATCTATAAAATAAGGAAATGTGGTTAATATGAACTACCTGTACCTCACAGAGATATGACATGAAAATATCCAGTAGTGTTTGTGCCAGAATGGCAGTGCCTTTGGAGTCATCTGACACAGCACCATGCAAATTGATTTTTGTCTCTGCCAACAAGGGTAACTGTTTTAATCTCCCTAGAGGTGGATCTCAAGGAGTCATATTGGTAGGGTATCATAAAAATGTGCATTTAATGTTAAGGAAAAGCAGGAACAATTTTAACAATTTTGTTAAGTGAATGGATCGACGAAAATATAATCCGATTTTGAGGCGCACTGTTTAGTTCAGATTGCAAAATACTTATCTTTTCCGAAAAGATAAGCCTTGAAAATTACTTACGGACTGTTATTCAAACCTTCAGTAAGAATGTTTTGTTAACCAAAATTAGGGTTAAGTCCTTTTTACCCAAACTCATTATAGATTCTTGATTCTCCTACCGGTATTGTATGTTCTTCCTACTAGGTATCCGCCACAACAAATGGCTTGGTGCTTGCTGTAAAAGCTAAATATATTTAAAACTTTATTTCCAGACTCGTAGATTCCTTTTTTAGTAGGAATAATGAATGTCTTAGCCTGCATGGTAGTTCTTTTGATTAATATCTTGTTTCTTCAATCTGAATTCCAGTTACTTGGCAAACATTCATAATTTAATTATGGATCATGTGAGCTGCTGTAGCTAGTCTGAGTTGATTCATTATTCATTGGTTATTAAGTGTCTTCAATTAGTCTAAATTTATATGACTTGATATTTAAACTGTAGACATGGTCAGAGGTTACCATATCTTCTTTTATTTGCTGGTCTCTAAATATTGCTGTGAAGGTGAGCCATTAAGTAGACTTGTTAGTACTATACTAATTTCTTATTAAATTATACTTCTGTTTTAATCCTTTGAAAATAGTGAATGACTTGTCAATGTATAAGGTTCTTTTTAATTGACTTTTGAAAAGTAAGTATTTTATGATTTGGTTGAATGAACAAGAATAGCAGCGTTCTTTTGTTCTGTTAAAAAGCAGCTTCTTGTGCTTCCCTCCAAGGGCTATAAATAGCACATCCTAAGTCTCTGGGTTTGGGTGTCCCCACGCCCCGCTCAGGCCCCTACCCCAGATGAGTTTGGTGCGTCAGTATGGTCCCTGCAGACTTAGCGTGGCCGGGCTGGTCCCCAGTGGCTTTTGGTGGCGTCTGTTTCAGTGTTGTGCCCCCACCCTTAGGGGTAGGAGGGTGAGTCTGTGCTGGGCGTCTAACCTGTGACCCCTTGGTGTTAGAACCTCCAAGCGTGTGGATTCTAATGCTGCACCTGACAGGTGTTTCCTCTTTCTTGACCGTCCCTCCTGCAGGTGGACACCGACGCCATTGTCCTCACAACAGGGGCCTTAGTGTTGGTAACCGTGCTACCGATGATTCCACAGTCGGGGAAGCAGCACCTTCGTGATTTCTTTGATATTTTTGGCCGTCTTTCGTCATGGTGCCTGAAGAAACCAGGTAAAGATCTCCTTCTATACCTGTCATGCCCCACCAAGTGAGTGCTTTCATGATTGATTAACAGGTCATGTGCTGGAAGGGAAGGACTTGTAGCATTCTAAAGCTGAAATGGCTGGTTGTCACCAGCCAGATGAGGAAATACCTCAGGTACGTCCACCAGAGGCACAAATAAGAAGCATGACTGTTGGGACTTCACTGGTGGTCCAGTGGTTAAGACTCCATGCTTCCAGTGCAAGGGGTGCAGGTTCGATCCCTGGTCAGGGAACAAAGATCCCACATGCCGTGTGGCATGGCCAAAAAATTAAAAAAAAAAAAAGCAGCAGCACTACTGTTGAGATACCTTCCTTATTTTGTTGGCTTAAAAGGATTAGTTGTCAGAGAAACTGAGTGGTAGGTACAACTTCCTGATTTTCAGTAAACTAAAAAAAAGCTTCAATCTGTGTCATAGCAGTATAGGACTAAGCTTGTGGTACGTCTTTGTCTTCCTCTGCTGGTCTATAGTGACAGAACACAAGCTTCTGGTTCAGAGAACTTGTCCATCGTAAATGTTAGAGGAGCAGAGAGAAAGCAGCACGTCCTAATTAGTGTTCTAGTTTCCAATACAGTGGGGTTTTGTTTCATATCGACAGGTAGTACAGCTCTATCAAAATGATTCAGAAGCTATATAAACACGCGAAATTTGGAATCCTTTGGTCATCCCAGCATGAGATATTCGTGTTGAAAGAATGAAATGTGTCAGCCCTGGGAAATGGAATACTCTGGCTTCCTGTGCAGGATTAAGTGACAAGTCTGAGGCGCATATGGTGCCGGCTTGTCTCGTAGGCTTTTCCTGGGGATGTCCATTAATTTAGAGGAGCTTTATGTATACTGTGGACTTGGGGTTTCCCATAGGGTGTAGGTAACGCTAGATGAATTAAATTTTCTACTTCTCCCACTCTTAGCTCTTTAAGCTAATATCTGGGTGGTAGTTTTTCACTCTATAGTTACAAATCTGCATAGCTAAGACTACAAACTGATTTTAAAACATTCTCACACATTCGTTCCACAAATATATGAATGCCTCTTACGCATCAAGCCCAGTGCGAGGCACTAAGGGTACAGAGGTGAGTGAGTCAGTGCTGTTCTCAAGAGACGTGTACTGAGTAGGGCCGTGGAGGAGTATGATTACAGATTTCAGGGAGTACCGTTGTAAAGGCGGTTCAGTATTATGAGAATGTCTGGGGTCTTATTTTAGGGGTGACTGGAGAGGAGCGCAGAGATTAGATCAGTGTGAGCCTTTATGGGTCACTGTAAGTAGATGCGAGTTTATCCAGAGGCCATGGGGAGCCACTGATGGTTTTCAAACAGGGGTGTCCGGTGTGTTCAGATTTGGATTTTAGAAAACCTCTCTTACTTACTTAACTGTCTTTGGAGCAGGGTGGGAGCACACGTACGCAGAGTCACGCTGGCAGCCCTGTGCTCGTGTCTGTTTCACACACATCAGTCTTGTGTTCAGCTCGGTGACTCCTTTCAATGTTTTCTTTTTTAGGCCACGTAATGGAAATCTATCTCGTCCACCTCCACGCCAGCGTTTACGCTCTCTTCCATCGCCTGTATGGGATGTACCCTTGCAACTTTGTCTCCTTCCTACGTTCTCACTACAGTATGAAGGAGAACCTGGAGACTTTTGAAGAGGTGGTCAAGGTAAGTAGCAAAAACTCATTTATTTGCTACATAGCAACTGTGTAGATAGGCTGCATTTATAACTTTTGTATTAAATGATAGACAGGGAAATTTGAAAAGAAATTCAGCCTTCTCCCTGTGCTGCCCACTGCCCCCAGCCCTGGTAACCACTGATCTGTTTTTTGCCTTTATAGGACTTGCCTGTCCTGAACATTTCATTTATATGGAATGATATAATATGTGGTCTTTTGTTAATGGCTTCTTTCACTTAACATAATGTTTCGGGATTCATCCATGTTGTGGCATGTATCAATACTTCATTCCTTTTTATTGTCAAATAATATTTCGTTGTGTAGAAATACCATAGAAAGTTAAGCCTTTTATAACCTGTCAACCCAAACTCTTCTAGCCAATGATGGAGCATGTGCGAATTCACCCAGAATTAGTGACTGGATCCAAGGACCATGAACTGGACCCTCGAAGGTATAGAAACTGAACTAGTGACACAGAATTTTATAGGCTCACTTAAGAAATTGAAGATGTGACCTCGGAGATGTCCCTTCTGCGGTGTTGTTGGGGAAGACATGTTCTTCTCTTTATGGAATCATTCCATTTTAAAGGGCTTTTACAGTGAAAAAACACTTTGTATGTGTGAGTCTAAAGCATATTCCTCACAGACAGGATGGAGGAGGTTGCAGTGCAGGTACCCGCGCCGCAGAACTCCAGAAAGGCTCGCAGCTCAGTGTGATTGTGCAAGGCGGGCGCTGAGGTGTGGTTGGAACCAAGTGCACTGTGGAGAGTCTGGACGTCGAGTGGCCGGGCTCCCCGGGTCCCTTTCTCTGTCCTGCTTAGCCAGGCGACTGCCATCCTTCACGGGGCTTGGCAGAAGTGCCCAGGTTCCTTCTCTGGGGAAGTGGAGCCTGCAAGGCTCCTAATTTGAGGACGCCAAGCATGATGGAGGATGGAGCTGAGTCATGACTGGAAAGGTGGGACCAGGGTGAAATCCTACACACTGAGCTGTGAGAGGCTCAGCCCCTCCCCGCCGCTTCTCTCTGGCTGGCTGCCAGCCTCATGCTCCCCAGGCTGGGGATTGAAGCCTTCTGGGGGACAAGGGGTCCACGGGTATTGACATTGGAGGATCTCCCACTGGGAAAGGTGGCTCACTGCCTGATCCCCCTTCAGCAAATTTCATTTCTCTACGAGCCCTCCTTCTGCCACACGAACCTCAGGTTAAAGCAACTTGCTGTGAGATATATGTAGAGAAACAGCAAATGTGTAAGAAAAGTTTAGTAATAACACATGGATACTTGTGTAGCTACCACTTGGCTGAAAAAAATGGGACATTAACCTCCTCAATTGCAGCCATCTTTCTCCCTGTTCCATGTCTCACCTCAGAGGCACCTACTATTCTTGCTTTTATTTTAATCATTCTCTTTCTTTTCTTTATAGTTTGACCACATGTATTGTTTCATTTTGAAAAGCTAATTAGGAAGCAAAGTCTGGCCTTGGAAGAGGCCGTCTTGTCATCATGAGGTGAAGGTTCCCAGGAGGCGAGAGGAGGAACTGAGTGTCTGAGTCTTGGTTGGGTGTCCCCTTCCTTGAGAGTTTACAGGAGTCCCTTCCAGGGAAGTCGGTGGGCAAAGCCATGAACAAGTTCTGGGAAACATAAGGCTTCCTCTAGTCAGGGCATCTGGCGAGGCCAGATAGTGAGGGCCAGGGGCTGGATGTGCTGCCGAAATATGGCAGAGGGAGGGGACTGCTCTGTTTGTGCTCCTGAACTCACTGTGGCTGCTTCCAGGAATAGGTCAGAGCAGAATCATTCTGTGGGATGAAATGAATGTCCTCAGCTGATCCTGGCAGAGAAGGGAGAGTAGGAACTTCATTAGTGCATAACAAGACAAGCTCAGTACCAACAAGTTATCGTCACCTAGACACTCTGTCCCTCAGTTACAAAGAGGGTGTGGTGGCAGCAGAAACCTTAGAGATGGCCTGCAACACGCTTGTCTCCTGGCATGTCTGTTCTGATCTGACCAGGTTGTCTTCTGTGCCTCGTACACAGCTATCATCTTGTTCTCCTGGGGCTTCTCTGTGCCTCTCTCCTGTGCAGGTTCTCCCATTTCCTGTATCTCATGCCTTCTTTTTTGGGTTTTTTAAATATTTATTTATTTATTTAATTTTGGCTGTGTTGGGTCTTCGTTGCTGCACGCGGGCTTTCTCAAGTTGCGGTGAGCGGGGGCTACTCTTTGTTGTGGTGCACGGGCTTCACATTGCAGTGGCTGCTTCCTTCGTTGCGGGCTTAAGTAGTTGTCACGCGAGGGCTCTAGAGCGCAGGCTCAGTAGTTGTGGCACACGGGCTTAGCTGCTCCGTGGCATGCGGGATCTTCCCAGACCAGGGCTCAAACCCGTGTTCCCTGCACTGGCAGACGGATTCTTAACCACTGTACCACCAGGGAAGTCCTGGGTCATTCTTACATTCATGGAATATATCTTCTAGTAGCTTTTAGAGAAAGGATGTCATTTTCTATGTGGGTATAGATTTCTAGATTGGGAGTCATTCTCATTCAGCAATTTGAAGGCATTATTCCATTGCTGCCTTGCCTCCAATGCTGCTATTGAAATCAAAAGACATTTTGATTTCTGATCATCTGTGTTTACTGTCTTCTGTTTGTTCTTGTAATATTCTGAAATTTCCTAGTGATGTCCCTTGATATGAATGTGTTCTCATTGTCCAATCTGGAAGCTCCTATCTTTAAATTCTAGGAAATTTTCTTTAATTATTTGTGCTTGATTTCTTTTCCTTGACTGTCTCTGTCTTTCTTTCTGGAACTCTTAGTATTCTGCTTGGGACTTCCTGGAGCAGTTCTCTGCTTTTCTTTGCTCTCCTCTTCTCTTTAGGAAATATTCCTGAAGATTTCCTTGTCTTTAGCTCTTAATCTTTCTATTATAGTTTCATTTCTGCCATGTTTTCAGTAACTAAGAGCTCTTTTTAGTTCTCTGAATGCTCCTTTTTTATAGTAGCCTGTTTTTATTTCATGGATGCAGTCTCTCATGTCTTTGATAAGATTGATAGGTGTTTTTTTAAGGTTTTCATTTCGCTACATAATCTGTTTCCTTTAAACTGCTCTTTTGTTATTCTTTTTAAAAATTTGAGGCTTTCTGCAGAGATTGGTTTATATCTGGGTGAGGAGACTAAAAAGCTTTGCTTACAGGGATGGGGCTTGTTGACTTGTAGGTCGATCTGAGCATCTGTTGGAGATGCTGATGTCAGTATTGGTTTCCATTTGAGCTGGTCGGACTTTTTCAGGAAAGCGTCTTCCGATGTCTAGTCTGGCCAGGATTTGGCTACTCCTAGAGGGAAGAGGCTGCTTGGTGGGGAGAGGTTAGTGGTCCTGGCATTCAGAATGTACATGCTCACTTAATCCTCTTGTTTGAATAGTACTCGTGCCCTCAACCATTTCTGGAGTACCTCAGTCCCGATACTCTCTGTTTAACCTCCTCAGAGAATAATCTGGATTTCTGGTGAGAAAAGTGGGAGTGTAGAGTCAGAGACAGAGTCTCAGGGCTCTAACTGCTCCTCGGTAGGTTTTACCCTGTCTTACTGATTTTAGCTGCCCTCACCTACCTGTCACTCATCTCCAGAAGTACAGGTATACAGAAGTACTTGACGTATACAAATTCTTTAGCTTTTTAAGGGTTCTTCAGTATAAATCAGGTTGACTTTTAGCTTTGAAACATTGGCAGCTTAGGATTCTGCTTTCCTGGATTCACTGAGTCAGTCACCACTTGCCTATCTGCTTTCTAGTTTCAAAAACATGTGGTGCTGTTCTCTGTTTTCTCATTCTTCTCTTTCTTGTGGGTTTATATTTAAAAGGAAACAAATAAAGGAATCTTAAGGCTTGGTGGGGTTTGGGGAGAATCTACGATTGGATGTGTATGTCCAATCTGTGTTAACTCGGAAGCCTCCTGGATCAACTTACAGAGCCTCCTTCACCTTGGATAGATGGGTCATCTGGCCTTTGAAGGAAGTTCTAACACCAAAGATAAGAGACCAATGTAAAGAGAAAAAAAGGAGCTGGAAACAATGACAATACAGAGAGCAGAAGAAAACATCTACAGTAGCTACAGAGAGGAAGCATTTGTGCATAGATAAAGGTCAGGATGCCACAGAAGGGCACAGTCAGAGACTAAAGAAAGCACTGTTGAAAATGAAAAATGATAGCCAAAATAAACATTGCAGTAAAATAATTGAAAGGTACAGTTGGGAATATCTCCGAAAGCAGAATCAAAGGCTAGAGATGAGTAAAATGAAAGAAGAAATGTAAAATAATCAGTCCAGGAAGTCTAGTAAAGAAGTCTTTAAAGGGGAGGAGAAAACTTTGGTGGGGGAAGAAATTGTGAAAGAAATAACAGAAGAAAATTTCCAATACAAGTACAAATGATACAAGAAAATACAATAATACAAGAATTGAAGGACGTGAGTTTCCAGATTGAAGGTGCTTATCTAGTTCCCAGCACAGTCAATGAAAAAGAATGCTACTAAGCCTCAATATTGTGAAATTTCAGTACATCAGGGATAAATCTTTCAGAGAGAAAAAACCAAAACTATAAAGATGAGAAATCAGAATGAGGTTAGCTTCTGAAACATCTTCAAAATTGAGAGAAAAAAGGTTATCAGCTTAGAATTCTATACCCAGCCAAACTGCCTATCAAGTATGAGACATTTTTAGATATGCAAGGACTCAAATTTACCTCACATGTACCCTTCCTCAGTGAACCACTGGAGCATGTCTTCCACCAAAACGAGAGTAAAATCGAGGAAGACACAGAGTTCATGAAATGGGGGACCTGACTTAGGGTCTTGGTCAAGGGAAGTCTTGGTATGACACAGCAATGCTGAGAACAACCAGTGGGAGAGGGAGGGCTCCAGCAGGGAGCTCTTTAGGAGAGGGTGAATAATCCTGGTAGACTATTTGCATTTCATTATGAACAAATTATATTAGGCATTATTTCAGAACTGCTAGAGCCATATTAGGAAGGATTAGTAATAGACACATTAGAAGACTGAGGAAAAGGAACAACAACATTCAAACTCCAGGAGAAACTAGATTGAGCAGCAAAGGAAATACTGTAGTATATTCTTTGGCTCAGCCATGAGTGGTGCTTATCTAGTCATTATAATGAATTGTTCAAAATTAATTTTGAAACAACAAAACAATGATACACTGTTTTGAGAGCACTGGGGAGAAGGGAAAAGGATATACGGAAGTGACCTAAATCCTCTCCTACCATAAGGACCTTAATAGTTGATGTCTTGGGACATCCCTAGTGGTGCAGTGGTTAAGAGTCCACCTCCCAACGCAGGGGACACGGGTTCGAGCCCTAGTCTGGAAAGATCCCACAGGCTGCGGAGCAACTAAGCCCATGCGCCACAACTACTGAGCCTGTGCTCTAGAGCCCGCGAGCCACAGCTCCTGAGCCCGCGTGCCACAACTACTGAAGCCTGCACGCCTAGAGCCCATGCTCCGCAACAAGAAGCCACCGCAACAAGCAGCCCTTGCACTGCAACGAAGAGTAACCCCAGCTCGCCGCAACTAGAGGAAGCCTGTGTGCAGCAAGGAAGACCCAACACAGCCAAAAAACTAATTAATTAATTAATTTTAAAAAATATTTGATGTCTAAAAATTCAGACATCCGGAAATTTGAAGCATAGAAGTATGGAGGTAGGGTAACAATTCAGCTGGAAGCAGCTAAAATTGGAAGCTGCCCAGAAAGTTCCTTCATGCCCTTTGAGAGGTGTTCAGTCTCCTCTCTCACTCCTGGCCACCATTGATCTGCTGAAAGCATGCTTTTTCACGGTGGTATAATAATTTTTCTTCTGTAGAATCTACCTCTTTGGTTGGACCTTTCTTCTTTCTATTACAAGCTATGCTGAGTGTTGTTGTCCATCTTGATGTATGTCTATTTCCAGAGGCTAAATTCTTAGAAGTGGAACTCTGGATCACATAACAGGACTCTTTACAATTCTTCAAATATCCTCATGGGCTTTCTCTCAGTTTGAGACTTGCTGTGCTGTATTTCTGGTCTAGGGATGGATTAGAATCCTGAGGCTTTGATAGGAGACCTTAAGTCAGCCTCAGCTACCTGGCAGTTTCCAGGTCTCCCTCTTGTTTGATTACCTTTGTGCCAAAGGATAGTTTCCCCTGGTGACTGCTCTGCATAGTTTGTGTTTTCTTCTGAGGCTATGCCTGGTCTTTTGTTGATGGAATTTTTGTTTCGGATTAGTTTCTGATAACTTAATATAACCATTTTAAATAGGGAGGGTATAGGTTTGTAAAATGAATGGCCAATTCTTTATATCATAGTGCTGATTAGTACTTGGGCTGGCGCGGTTCTGCCTGTTCTTTGCTAGCCATAGTTCAGTGGCTGGCACTGAGTTAGCTCTTCAGTATTTGATGGTTTGAATAAATGGATTATAACGTGCACTTCTTGACTTTCGTTGCCTTTTACAGGTGGAAGAGATTAGAAACACATGATGTTGTCATAGAATGTGCCAAAATCTCTCTGGACCCTACAGAAGCCTCATATGAAGATGGCTATTCTGTGTCTCACCAAATCTCAGCCCGTTTTCCTCATCGTTCAGCCGACGTCACCGCCACCTCTTATGTTGACACACAGAATAGCTATGGTAAAAAGTGACTTTGGTACTTATCTACTTTACAACTTTGTCTCTAGAAAGCATTGTTTATTTTTGTTGAGTTTTTTTCCCTTTCCTAGAATAAGACTTAGGTCAGCTCCTAGGAACTGTTTCCCAAATATTTAAAATTTGAATTTGCCTCCATTTTCCCCTAAGTTTAATTTACAGTCCCATGTCCTTGATCTCCTTCTTGATAGTATGTCAACAGACTTGGGATGTGTCAACACTTAACAAAGAAAATGGATTAAAGGATTTGGCTTCTAGGCTCCAGCTCATAAAGGAATCTTAGATTTTTTTCAGACACTTTTAGTGAGGCCCTCTGGGCTGTCACATTGACAACAGTTTTGAATGAACCTGGACAATTCAGAATTGGATTCATGTAAAAGTCTAGGCTTATCTATAGGTAGCACCCAGCGAAGTTGTCATACAGGTTGTGCTTTTTCAAGTTATCCTAAAGCTTAACTAGACATCAAACCTTACTAAACTTTATTTCCAAAGGGTATTTAAAGAGGCTCTTGAATGATCAAATGGTCTCGAGGACCATTCTGTATCAGGATAATCTGAAGCCACGCACTGACGCCTGTGCTCTTCCCCTTCCATCGCAGGTGGTGCTACTCCTACCCCTCACTCCACTCCTCGGCTGATGTTGTTAAACACGCCAGGGCGGCTGCCTCAGACTCCGAGTTCCCTGTCGACACAGCTGTTAACTGAGCCGCCACAAGTATGGTGTCAAATAGTGTGCCTGCTTTCTTCTCTGCTTGCTGGTGAAGCTGACCATTTGGGTCAGGATTTAGCCTATGGTTGGGAAAATCTCTCACTGCTCATTTCAGGAGTTAGTTTTTAAGGATGCATGACATTTGCAAGAAAAGTTACTGTTGCCACTTGGGTTTCTCTTGGAGTCTAGACTTACAAAATGCAATGTGTCTCTTGATAAGGCTTTATTTTAATAAGATGCCTTTTTCCAGTTGAAAGGCTAAGTTTAAGATCATTGATCATGGACTTAAACCTCGGGAGGCGTAGCTATTCGTTCCTCATCGCTGACCTGCCTTATTAACTTCTAGGCTACTCTTTGGAGCCCATCTGTGGTTTGTGGGATGACCACTCCTCCAACTTCTCCTGGAAATGTCCCACCTGATTTGTCACACCCTTACAGTAAAGTCTTTGGTACAGCGGGTATGTATGTCTTAGGTTAGATTTGACTGGTTGGTTCGGGCCGGCCTTTTATGATAAGGAACTATCTCTTAGATCTAATAGGGAGTTTGAGAGCCATTTGTAGTAGTAAACCTATTTTTCACAATACAAACCCCTGGAGCTTTCAGAACACATAAAGTGAACCTAAAAAAAAAAAAAGACTGATCTACATCCCCAGAAAGTTAACTCTAGGAGCTTTCTTTGCAGTAATAGTTAAGCTGAAAAAAATTTGGCAGTTTTCCTAATTGTTTTACTTCCTCAAAGTGTGTATATTCTGCTCTTGTCTCTGAGCAGGTAGAAAAGGAACTCCTCTGGGAACCCCTGCAACCTCTCCTCCTCCAGCCCCACCCTGCCATTCGGACGACTACGTGCACATTTCACTCCCGCAGGCCATGGCCACAGCCCCCAAGAAGGTTTGCCTGGGCTCCTGTGCTGCCCTCCCCACCCCCCCGCCCAAGCACGGTGACGTGCTTCCAGCCTTACTTTGTGAAGCCTGTTATGGCAGATAGAAGTTTGACCTAAAATGTAATGGGTTTGAATCAGATCAATTCAAAACAGACCAACCCTATATGGCCTTTATTATGTTGAGGTAGAAAAAATAGACTAACCAGCAGCTCTCAGAGTGTGATCTGCTGACTGCAGGGGTCTCAAAACGCTTTAAGGGCATCTGCCAGGTCAGAACTACTTTCTTAGTAATACTAAGTGGTTATTCGCCCTTTTTACCACATTGGCACTTACACTCATGGCACAGAAACAACGGTGGGTAAAAGGGCTGCCCCTTAGTATAAATCAGACTCTCCTAGTAGGCATTGCATTCTTCTTCCTCGATGTGTTCTTTCAGTTTAACAGAAGAAAAGAAACAACAACAAAACAAACCTTGAGTATTCCATATAAAGAACGCATATGTTTAATATTGTTTGTGATGAAGTAGGAAACAGACATAAAGCACCTGAGTGCATACCAGTGTGTGGTGGCCACCACAAGCTCTTGTGCCATTATTTGAGTTAAGAGCTGAACTGGTTGCCTTTTTTTCATGGAGCAGCAGTTTTGTTTGAAAGAACAGCTGGTGACAAACGATGGTTACTCATGCCTGAGTGTCTGGCAGGCAGTTAGCTTCTTAGATGACAAACTGGGTCTGTCACTTCAAGATAAACAACTGACGGTATTTGTTGCCAGTGATAAAAAGGTGAAATTAGAATGTTAAAAAACTGATACCTGGCACCAAGAGCTTAATAGTTTCCCCAAGTCTTTTATGATGAGATTGAAAAGTCTTGGGAAGCTTGGTTAATAATTTGAGGTTTTGATATTGTATAATGAAATGTTGCCACACTTAGAAGATCTGCATAACTTGGTGACCCAGTATTCTACGTGCCCAGTGTATATGTTACAGAATCACACGTAGGTAAAAGACGCATTTGGGGGACAAGGCAGACCAGTGGATCTTGACACAGTGTGAAGAGTGAGTTGCCATGGTGTCAGATTCTGCACTGTAACTAACCTTGAAGAAATACCCCTTGTCAAGTTTTAGTGTAGTATCAAAGATGGCTATCCACAGTTATCTAAACAGTCTGTTTACTTTTCATAACTACTTAGCTGTGGGCCCTAGAGTTTTCTTCATACACTTGAGCCAGAATAGCCTAGCAGCAGAGCAGAGGCAGACATAAGAACCCAGCTTTCTTCCCCTAAGCCAGATACGAAAGGGATTGCAAAAATGTGAAACAGCTTGACGCTTCTCACTAAACTTATTTTTATTTATCATAAAAATATTATTTATGTTTACATGTATTGGGTCGTTTTTTTTTCGGCCGCGCCACACATCTTGTGGGATCTTAGTTCCCTGACCAGGGATTGAACCCGCGCCCTCAGCAGTGAAAGCCGGAGTCCTAACCACTGGACCTCCAGGGAATTCCTGGGTTTGTTATTTTTAAGTGAATTAATAATTTTAAAATTCTGTTTTAGTTTGTAACATGGTAACTATCAATAGGTATAACCACGTAAGCAAAGTCCTTGAGATTCTCAATAATTATTAAGAATAGGAAGGCATCCTGAGACCAAACAGTTTGAGAACCATGGGGCTAAACTTTAAACTCCTCTATAATATGCTAAAATTTTAGGTGTTTAGGATATTTCTCTAATATTAGAGAACATGTACACAATTTTCTGCCTTGTGATATAAATGGTACCTGTCTTTTCAGGAAGAGAGAACAGATTCTGCAAGGCCCTGTCTACACAGACAACACCATCTTCCGAATGACAGAGGATTAGGTAAGATCTCTGGGTAACAGTAGACCTTGCTTGATTCTTGATGGGTTATATGTGGAAACAGGGGAATTCTGGAACACCACAAATCACTGAAGCCCAGAGATAATGAAACATATAATTAATTCGTAAAGCCAGCCTCATAACAACAACCCCCAGAGGTTTTAAGTGCCTGTGTTTTGAGCTGGTTGAACTGTGGCGTTTTGAGCTGGTCGAACTGTGGCTTTATCTGTTCTCTGAGATGTTAAGAACAGAGAGTTGTATTTTCTGTGGGATTATTTTTTGGTACCTTTAGTTAGAGTATTGTAGTATTTTGGCTTTCTGTGGTAGCTTTCTGTCTTCAGCAGGG